ACTGATGGATTCTCTAATTCTGATTGGTCCTTTGGGTTGAGTTAGCAAGGAAGCAAAGTTAGCAAAAAACCGGCGCGTTTTATGTACTCATAACCTGTTAGAAATCGATAGTCTTATAACGCACCGAAACCTGTAATTCGCATTGGTTGCATTTTTGTCTCCGTTATACGTTTTGTTTGCTAATGGTAACTGGTACACCAAACGATGGTGCCTTGCGCAGTATCTTGTCCATAAATGCTTCTATCAGGTCCTTGCATTAATAATAATAAGGCATGCCTTGCACGCTCTCTTTCTGCCTCGTCGTAAACAGGATATGCTCAAGTATCAGTATTTCTGATGTACGGAAGTACTTTTGTTAGTTTACTACCGGTAGTATTCCTCTGTTGTTCTTTGTTCTCTGTTTTGATTTTCGTTCGCATTGTTTCCCCAGTTAGCGAAAACCAAACGACTGACTCTTACTAACAGCAGTGCATACGAAATAATTGCTGCAGAAGCAGCTTTTCGACAGTTGACACTAATGCTGCAACTCATGAGATAGTCTTTTTTCACGAAGTGTTACAAAATCTAGTAAGAACTACAATGAAGTTATTTGTTGAGAATTCAAAAATAACGAGTGAAAAGCATTGATTGCATTAGTTATGAATTTTTGTAGTTTACATCAGTCGTATTTTTTAGCAGTACCCTTCTTTTACAACAGCTCAAAAATAGTATATTCTTGTGATTATGTGCATGCTCGACCGGTTGACTTTTATATCAACATGGAATAGAACAGTGAAAATTGTCGAAATAAACCAGCGATGCGTTACAGCAGGTAGCAGGCTCCGACGTCACGATCCCAATCGACCGCAGTTGTATATTTTTACATACATTTTACATCGAAACATCTTTAGCGCATTCATCTCGCTGGATAGAATCGTTCACGATTCGACACAGAGGATGAGGAGGAGTCAAGTAGAGCAAGCCTAGAATCCCATGCAATGCACCGGACTAATGTGCTTCGTTCCTTCGCGATCATACCCCGATCTTTGTTTGTTGTCCTGTCAGAAAAGGAGTTCTTTGCATTGCTATCAGCACTCGGTTGAAATATGAAATCATTTGTCTCGATTGGTTGAACGTGTTCCTTTGCTATCGAATCTGAGATCTGAGAAAGTGGTGTCATGTCAAAGGCTCCTCCTGTTCGTTCTTCCACTCCAGTTGTTTGAAGGATACAACTTGGGCTATGGTAGCAAATCTGGTCGATGGCTTCGTAATAATCGTCGTCCCTTTCGGAGAGAAGCCGTATGCGTTTACATTCTCTCTCGGGGAACAGTTGCAGTCTTTCGACAGCAGCAGTGGCAGGACTGAAGTTAGGGTCTGTTTCTACTACTCGTACTAAATTGCAAGTCCAATTTCTCCTGTCGTCGTCGCTGACATTATTCATATCGTATCGTGAATGATGTTGATTGCCGTGGTGAGTTGCAATTTAGTTTATGATTGTCTCGGAACGAATCTGTTTTTTCTCCAAGTTTATGGCAATCAGCGTCAGCACCTAGCATAACCTACATGTAGAAACAAACCACGATGCCATAATGATACACTTTATGACACATTGTGATGATTGAAGGTGTTCTTCTGAAATTTTTTCAAGAACACCCAGTTCGTGTCGAATCTTCTTAGAACGACCAATGTAACTTCTCTGGAGAAAAAGGACTGGAAGCAAGAAACGGGTCGTAATGAATGAATGGAAGAAGAGAGAACGTTTGAATTATTTAAGGAACGCCTGATGGCAGAGAAATGCCACACTTCTGTCTGTTCTCTCTTCTCTTTCCTGACCCAAAACAAAGCTGTCGAAATCAGGCTGCCAATAAAATATTTGAGGATTTATTGATTGAACGTTTCCCCTTAATTACAGAAACGCTTTATTAACAGATCGGAAGAACATCGCGACCAAACACCAATCCAAACCTCGTCACAGCATGAAGGGCGCGACTAGATAGACCCCTGAGCGGTTTCGGCCCACGATTTTTCTACTGGAGAGCGAAATTCTGGCTGGTTTTTGATGGTCCCCACACAAACACTCACAAAATTGTTAGGGTCATTTTTACAGTTAAAAAAAATGTTTCAAATTATTTAATTTCTTGCTGGTCCCTAAATATTTCTATTAGTGGTCCTTACTACTGGAGAGGTAAATTCATCGGTTACTACTTGAGCAGCACGAACAAAAAACCCGAACACGGCAGTTCGCAGTGCTCATTACTATAACATCCCCAGTAGTAAGTAGTAATGGAGGTTTTCCAGTAGTAAGCCCCAATAGTAATTCTCAAGTAGTAACCTATGAATTTACCTCTCCAGTAGTAAGGACCACTAATAGAAATAGAGACTTCTCAAAACACACTTTCCATCAGGTCTTGTCGCAAGCGTCGTTATGAGTTCCCCATAACCAGATATATTCAAAATGAAGGACACCCTAATTCCAAAACGTACTGCGGACGAACGTTCGCTTTTTCCTTGAAATTTTCTTCGGTTTTTCTTTTCCTGTCCTCGCTTCGATGTCGAGTTCGAGGTTTACACGCACAGAACGATCATACCGTACAAATCTTTAGGGTGATATCGAATACATACATGGTTCATCGAAATACGAAACATAGTAGCTAGGCATAGAATCACTGGTGCAAAAACTGCAGGGATATGCCGTATCAATAGACCTATTTTGCTTCAAGAGAGTCACAAACGGAGAGAAAGAGCGTCGCGCAAAGTGTTTCCACACTGTAACGCCGTTTTTGTGGGTTACTATGCAAAAAGGGTGGAAAGCAATTTCTAGAGCAGCGTCAATTGGACTCTTGTCGGCAATTTTACGGTTGCATCGAACTGCCTGGTCATTTCCATTATCCAGGGCTTTCGGTACCCATACTTTATTTCCTAGTGAATATCTTCGATACAAAGTTCGAGGGCCGTCTCCGTCGTGCTTATCGCTGACATATTCAACGGGTATTCCGATGAAGTCTGTTTCCACCGCCTGCAAGATGAGTACTTCCCCTTCTTCATCCTCTTCTACTGCTGTCGATCAAGCCAAGGGGACCAGCATGTTTTCGCCTTCCAAGATTTCTGTCGAACCGTCGAAATTGATGTTGGAGGTTATATCATCTTGCGATGACATTGATACAAAGAAGGCGTTATCGAAGGAAACTCTAACCGAAACATATTGTGTGCTTCGGCGATTCATAATTCATCAATCAAAAACGAACACAACGACAACGGAAGATACACAAAACACCGACATCGCCGATGTCGATCGTCTAAGACCGATAATAAGCTCGTATGCTCTAATTGCAGCAGAACATATGTGTCAGATTGCCAACGATCAAGGCAACGAACAAGAAAAAATGAGTCGGAAGAACAAAAAAAGAACTTGGGAAGCTTTGCAAAATGCTGCAGGAACGCTCCAGAACAGCATACATCAAAACACTGAAACAAAAGCATCGGAGTTGCCCATGGCATCCAATGCGTTGGCCGTATCCATGGTATTCGGAGCTCTTTCTCTTCTCCAACAACAGCAATCACTACATAACTCAGGAGACAATGGGAGTGCAAAGGCTGCCGCCAGCGCGCTGTCCTCGACCGTTTCTCGAAACACGGCATTGCGACTAGCAGGGCAACCGCTCTCCGCACTTGTTCTTCGATCGTGTGTCAGTCGTGCCTATTGCGACAAACAAGAATCCTTTCGCTTCGATTTGACCATCCTCAATCATCTCGCAAAGTCGTTTCACTTGACGAACGATTTTGTGGAACCTCGCGTCATTGCAAAGATAGTGCGAAAGGCCGTGCCAAAAGCGCAAGCTACGTACGAGAGAGAGGATCTAGTGAAGCAATCCACGGCCGGTGCATTTGCTTTGTCCTGTCAACTTCGTCCATGGTCAATATTGTCACCCATCGAACTAATGGATGCTGCAACAGCCTATGATTTTTATCACTCGGCCGAAGAGATATGTAGATCGGCTCACGGTGCAGCAAACGATGCCGGGGCATCTAGTTTGGCAGCTTCCGTCGAGGGGGATGACGACGACGACGCAAACGGCGGCGGCAATCTTCCATTCTCGGCTCTGGAACAGAACGAAAACGTGCGTTCCGCGGTCGAGAAACTCATCGATACCGCCATGGCAAGCCGGATGTACCGTCGTGCGGATGCCCTGGCAACAAGCCTGTACGGCATGGGGGGTCGATCGCGGTTCGTGAAAGCTCGGTACTTTCATGCTCGTGATACCATCGCAAAGGTTGTTGCGAGGCGCCAGTTTCCCATTGTGGACCGTCAGATCGAACGGGTGGACAAGGCCGTAGCGAAGATAGGCCGTTGCAACGAGACGGAGGAGAAAAGCCCGGACGGCGATCCGGCATCTCCCGGAGCAGACATCCGCAGGTATGCCATTGAAATGCTGGAAGAGGCCGGGGAAATTACAGCCGCTCAGCGACTGGCATCGCTCCATGGAATGGAGTACGTGTACGACGAAGAAGCTATCCTGCTGGCTGCAAAGGCACGACGAGAAAAATATCTGCAGTACGACGATCTGTTGCCCGGTGAGATCCCGCCTCTTATCACCGAAACGCACGAACTACGGTCTGGTTTCGATCGGCTCGTCCGAGCGGAAGAGAAAGCTTCGTCGTCGTCGTCATGCAACAACCATCAACGACGGAAGCGCATGGGATTCGACGCCGAATGGGACGAAGAAACCAAGGGGGTAGCACTGCTCCAGCTTTCCGGCGCCGAAACCGTGCTGCTGATCGACGTTCCGGCGCTGTCGTCCACCGAGGACGGTGTAAACGCACTTCGGGAAACCGTGGGAAAGGTCCTCGACAGCTCCGATTGGGCGGTGATCGGGTTTGCCTGCCGCCAGGACCTGTCCCGGCTGCGGGCCACTCCCTGCGTCCCCGTGGGAGGGAACCCTCACTGGATCTCGGGTGCGGGCTCCGTCGTGGACGTTCAGCCCCTCGTGTGGGACGCGGAGCCCGCGCTGAAGACGACCGGTCTCTCGCGGGCGTGCGAGCACTATCTGGGCAAGCCCCTGGACAAGTCGGAGCAGTGTTCCCTGTGGAGCAGCCGTCCCCTGTCGGACCGGCAACGCTCCTATGCCGCGCTGGACGCATGGGTGTGCGTCGCTATCTACGCGAAGGTTTCGAACCCGGATTCCGAAAACTAATGGATCAAACGAATCAACAGTATTTTTTGCACATCGTCTTGCTTTGGTCTAGAATACGACGAGACAATAAGGCTATGTTTCAATATTGTTATTATCGCGCTATTTATTCGCGTTTGTTCTCTTTATGCTTGGGTATAGCTGTGCCACTGGGATGAGTCGAAACTCCCGGGCTTTGCTTGCAACCAACCAACCGCTCGTTCGCTTGCTCCGCTGTTTGGGATCGGGGTGTTGCTTGTGGCGCTGGTCCTACACCGCCATGATCGAGTCCATCTTTTCGGCGACGACGGCCTTCAGCCGTTCCGTGGCGGCTTCCGACGCAGCCTCGATCTCCTTGCCCGACGCAAAGGCGTCGTCCTTGGAAACCCCCGCGAGTTTTCCGTCCTTGCCCTTTTTGACCGCGTCCATGGCCTTGCGGCGGACCCCGCGCAGCCGCTTCTTGCAGGACTCAGCGCGCTTCTTGACGCTCCTCGATAGCTTCTCCCGGACCTCTTTCGAAATCCTGGGCAGGGGGACCTTGATGTTCCCCGCCCCGCCCTCTTCCAGCTGCGGGTTGAGCTCCAGAGTGAGCTGGACGGCCTTGACGACGTCTCTCGCCACGCTCGGATCGAAGCAGGTCACCTGCGCAAGGGTCGGGGAAACGATCACGACCTGCGCGACGGCGTTCAGCGGCGTGGGGGCACCGTAGGCCTGGACCATCACGTCGTCGAACATGTCGGCGGTCGGTTCGGCGCCGCGGACCGACCGGAGCGATTCCGAGAAGCGGTCCACGACGGCGTCCATCTTGCTCCGGACGGCCACCGGATCCGGCAGAGTGGGCTCTCCGTCGCCGTCCCCGGCCTCTTCGTCCTCGTCCTCGTCGCCAAAGAAGATGTCGTCCTCGTCCTCGTCTTCGTCCCCACCGGCCGTGTCCGCGCCGCCGCCCGGGCCGTCCGTTTCGGAAGCCTGCTGCTTCTTTCCACCGGCCTTCTTGGCCGCCTTTCGGTCCTTTTTCTTTTTGCGCCGTTCCTGCGCCGCTTCTCGTTCCGGCCGGTGCGCCATTTCCTTCAGCGACTCGACCTGGTGGCCCATTTTGCCGGACCTCCACCGCTTCTGGCAAAGCGGCAGTGGTGGTTGGTGCGTGTACTGTGGGTGGCCCCGGAGATTGCCACCGTACGGCAAGGGCAGAGAACAAAGACGCCGGAATCCCCCGTCGTTGCCGCTCGATGTCGTCGCCGTTGCCACCGGCGACGACGAAAACGTCGAAAACGACGAAATCGCCGCGGAACGGATCTGTCGACCGCCTCTTCCCTGCCGAAGCAGCTTCAAACACCTTCCGCTCATCGCTTTGAAAAATACCTATCTATTGAATCGAGCAGCTCTGTGCCTCTCTTTTCCCAGTGCGTTCTCTCTTGGTCGGTGACGCGAATGGTTCGGATCACGAAACAGAAAGTACATGAAACAGATCTAAACATCCAGTGCTACGATGAGGCGAGCGATTTCGAGGGCAAAAATCAACGAAGATGTTGAGACGTCCAAAAATTAGAGGCTGACTGACACCGGTTCGCTTTCCCTTGGGGATAGTACGTACCGGTACGTACTACGATACCGTAGGGTGCCATGGGAATTTTTGAAAACTTTGAACGTGAACCAGTGGCAAAACGTGCTACGTACGGTACGGGACTGTTTTGTGTGTTGTGTAGGTAAGTAAAGTAGCTCCATACCACTCACAACGTACGTATGAGCTCGAACAATCACTAGGATCACTACCATTCTTCTACTATGAGAATGTGTTCTTGCGGGATCTAGCTACTACTACCTACACCCGCCAATGAACAACACGTGCGTCTCATTGTACTACCGTGCTCAAATCTACTGCAAGAAGTTCCAGATTTCATTGTGTTTACAACAATTTCATTAGATCACGTTTCAATACCAGTAGGAGCGGCAAGCCGTGCCGGATTTGGGCGCCTCCATTGGCTTTCTCTTGCATAGAGTATGGAACGGCAGCACGAGCGCATACCAGCGACCTTTCCGGGTTTCATACAATGGCCATAGAACATATACATACATACACGCATAAGACACGAGACGATGCGACACGATGCGATGCGAAGCGATGCCCGCTAGCACCCGTCGCTCTCCCACTCCAACATTTCGCGGGCCAGCTCCGTTCCCAGCTCGTTTACCAACGATCGACCGCCCCTGTTCAGAAACGAAGCAAAACGGTCCCTCGAAAACGCCACGATCATGTTGTGTCCGGTCGGCACGCGGAGGGTCAACCGGTCGCCGCCGCCGTTGTCATCGTCCCGGGCCAGCCGCTCGATGGCACCAACAACGTCCCTGGAGGGGATCGCTTGGTCCCCGCCTATTTCTCCAAGGCCGACAACCCCCTCGTCGTCGGATCGCGATCGCCGCCCCTGCGTGGTTTGCAACGAGCCGGGGAGCTCGATCGAGAACATTTCCTTGCGGAGATCCACAAAGACCTTTTTCCAGCCCAGCTTGTCGAGGGCCACCGACATTTGGTGCAGTTCTTCGGACCGCCCTCCCCTCGGTGGAGGGATACGGCAGCTCTCGGCGCGCTCGTCGCCGCCGTCCTCCGGCCCGGGAGACGTGCTCAGCGTGGCCACGATCGCCCCGTTGGTGCGCCCAGTCTTGCACGCTTCGTCTTCCGGGAGCTTGCGGTGGGGGACCCCCGAGGCCTCCGACAAAAAGGCCGCGGTTTCGACCGGGACGGGAAAGTCCGTCCCGTAGCAATTGGCGCAGGCGACCCGCTTCCGAAAGGCCGCGAGCGGTTCCAGAAAGGCGGCCTCCGTCGCCATGGCGTACAGCAGGCCGTTCGTTCGAAAGAGATCGCTCCCGGTCTGCCCCATGGTGAAGGCGATGCACAGCTCTGCCAGCCTCGGAACACGGATCCATGTGTGCTCCGAGACGCCGAGGTGGGGGGAAGCCGTCGTGCAAAAAAGGTTCAGACCCAGCTTATACCTCCCGTCGAGGATCCAGGAGGGATTTGCTTTGGTGTCCTTTGCCTCTTCTTCCACACAGTGCCGGCTGATCAGCTTGGCAATGGCATATCGTCCGTACAATCCGCCCATGGAATTTCCCAGGATGCTGATCGTGATGCTTCGGGGTGGTCGTTGTTTTTCGTTTTCGCTGGTGGTGACCGCTCCGGACTCGGGTTCGGGGTGCCTCCGCTTCATTTCGGTGTCGACTACCTCCCGGATTTCGGTGATCAGACGATCGCCACCGTTGATCACCCCGTCTCCTGTCCGTCTCTCGTTGCAGAGGGCGGTGTGCACCACCACGTCGCAGAGCTTCCGACGCTTCTGTTCCGAGCGCAAACTCGAGCGCGAACTCTCCCCGTCGATCGGGGCCGTCTCCGAAACGAGAACGAAATCGTCGTCGTCAACATCCGCAGTCTCCTGTGACGAATATGAGGAGCCGTTGCCGCTGTTTCCGATCTGTTCTCGGCAGGCTTGCTTGATAACCGTTTCAAGGTACGACAGGTCGATGCCGAGGCCCTGATAGCCGTGCACAATGAAGAAGAAGTGGGTGATTTCGGTCCCTGACACAACTCCTTTTTTGCCGTCCCTCGCATTCGGCAGGAATGGTTCGGTTTCGGTCCCGCTTTTGTCCTCGTCGTTGGCATCATTTGGTTTTAAACCGTACGGTGGAACCAGCGAGGGGTCCCGCAGAAGTGATAGGAACGAGCCAGCATTTTCGAAGGGAGGAAAGACGAGACGAAAGGAAGACACCACGGGTGTGACAAAGAGAACCCCCGCGAGCCAGTGCAAGGCGAATAGAGCAACGATGCCCATCGCATACAAAGCCGTCGACACGGATTTATAGGATGCGCCTGCAACTTGCCCGATGAATTCTTGGAGGGAAGAGGCTGACATTGTTTTTCTTCGGTACGTATAATGTGGTGGACCGAAATGTTGTGTCTTGTTTGTTTACCGTCAGATCCTTGCTATGCTTGACACATAAACACGGTACGTATTATGTGTTGCTTCAGAACTGCCGAAGCTCCTGAAGCACGAGTACCAGGTGCTGTCGACTTCAAAAGAAAAAATAAAGAATTCAAGAAGAATTTATCGATCAAAATCAATCAATCAAAATCACTATCGAAATCTGGTGAAATCGAACAGGTCTACGTGTAGGCTAGTACGTACGATACGAAATTCTTGTCTACCAGATGTACGGATCTCAAGATATCATCGAAATCATCTTTTCAAAAATGACATGTATCACGTCAAAATCAAAACGGGAAAAGTATTAGTACGTTCGTACTTAGCATACCGGTACGTAAGCTACGCTACGTCGCGATGAGTATTCGTCGCGCATTATTTTTGCTGTGCTACTGGGACGTAAACCTCTACTAGTACCCGCCCGCTATTAGTGCTTCCGTACTGCTTGCGTTCACAATCGTACAAACCGTTCGCATACGATTTGTACTCTATCACGTATGTTCCGTACGGGTATTCCTGTATGATACTTGACGAAGTTAGAGGCCAAAACGAGGTTTGTACAGGTACGTAATAGGGTACGGAGTGCGCAAGCATAACGCAAGAGTTACTTCTACCGGTACGTACTAGTAGTACTTGTACCCATTCTCCTCGTACATAGCGTTGGTTGGTAGTCGTAAAGATGATGTGTGACCACATCACAAATACCAAGTTGTACGAGAAGGAAACCGTATGAGGCTAGAGTCGTACTGGTACTTATCGAGTCCGTCCATCGTACGACAGAGCGGAACGCAACATACCAGTCGAATCATCCAATATTGGCTCCCATCTCAGACGAACCGTACGTAAATTTCCGTGCGGTACCGTACGTTCGGTACGTCGTTCTGAAGAAGAAACGAAACAAAATCGAGGAGTTGCGAATTTCTTTGCAAGAAGATGCTCGGCACCAATCGCATCTCGTGCGGCATCTTGTCGTAAGCATCGCGAAGAGCGAATCGATTTCAGCAATCTCCATCTTCGAGAGGTAGACATTCGTTGCTAACAAATTCAGTGAGCCCGAGCCGGTCATCCTTTTAAAGACTACAGTATTGCTTGTGAAACCTATGGGGAAAATGGGGAAATCGGGTTCCAAACGAAAGCAGCAGAGAGCAGCGGCGGCAACGACAACAACGGTGTCTTTGGATCAAACTGTACAGACGACGAAACCGAATCGGGAGCAAGGAGGTGATATTGTCCTACTCCCCCAGGAATTTCCGCCCCACCTCCCCAAGCCACCAAGGGGATCCTTTCTCCGGGACGAAGCCCCTTACCGGGATTCGTTCGGGGAGGCCCTTAGCGGCCCGTACGAAGGCTTTGCTGTGGACGATGCCAAGGAGCTATCTCTGCCCTGCGAAGGCGACAACACGGGTATACACGAAGAAATCGTCTTGTCTTCCCTGGAAACCATGGAAGGAGAAGGGATCTTTCGAACCGACGTCACGCAGCCCTTTGGCCTTGGCACGAAATGTGCCAAAACGTACGTAACGCGTTGTCTTGTGGGGGAAAGAGGCACCACGTACAAATACCTGGGACTAAGAATGTTTGCGCACCCCTGGACGGACGGCAGCGAGGAGGCGGCCGACGACCGGGGCGGTAAGAAGCGCAAACGCCGCAAACGAGCCCAGGGCTGCGATGCAAAGGTCGACCAATTGAACCAGGCCTTCGACGAAGCCAAAACCACGTCCACCATCCAAGAACTCGGAAAGTCGCTGACGATGCGTACCGCAAACCACCTGCGGGATCTAGACCAAAGACGGCGGCAGCGAAGGGCACCTGCGACCAGGGGGAGACCGAACTTTGACATTTGTTTGATCAATCGAATGGAATCGAGCCCAGATCTGAAGCCCTACAATTTCGGCGTCGGAGAACACAACAACAAGAGCAGCAGGAGTGGCAAGAACGAAGGCAATGGAACCAAGACCTCCGTCAGCTGGCACGCCGACTCGAGCCTGGAGCATTATTCAACGATCGCCGTTTACCAAACGTTACTGGGAGGGTGCAGAACCGGCAACGACAAAAGCAAATCCAAAGCGACCAAGAAAAACAGCGACGAGGGCAAGTGGTGGGTGGCACTCCGCGTCGCCCACCACTCGGAGGGGCCACAGGCCTCGCAGCGGAGGCGGGGCTCGACGACCGAAGCCTCGATCGTCGAAGATACTCCACCTATTGCCGTGAGCCTGCCATCCGGATCGGCGTATTATCTGCTGGACGATTTCAATCACCACCACCAGCACACAGTGCTGACAACCGGGGACGCGGCCACCGCTGGTGTGCGATACTCCTGTACCTTTCGATTGCTGCGGGATTCGCACAACGTTAGGGATTGGATCGATCGCGGCAATGCCGCCATCCGGCAATTCCACAAAAAGGGACCCAAGCTGTGGAGGTCCGAGCAACTGCTGCTGACGGAAATCGAGTCGGAATGGATACGGCAATTTTACATCCAGGGAACGGGTCACCATAAATTGCTCTGGGAACCCTATTGGAAAAATCCGATGAAGGAACTCCTCTCGATTTGGAGCCAGCTAGAGGCAAGAACGAAACAAACCATGGATCTTTTGCGAGCAGCGGCCGAGGGAAAATGCGGTTTGGATGCAGGTAATGGCACCGAAACGAAGCCGACCAAGGCGGAGCGCAAGGCGAGGGATCGTCGAAGGAAAGCCCTTGGCACCATCCGGGATCTCGTTTCGAGGATCCACATCCACAACGATGACGAGACAGTAACGGAGCTCTACCTACCGTTTGCCGAGCTCTTGGAAGCACGAGCCGCGATGAGAGAGCTCTGGGGGAAGCGAGAAAAGGACCATGTCTTTCACGAGATGCCACCCGATTGCAGGCCGATGGAAGTCCCGCTCCGGTTTGGGGACCAAACCGCGGCCCATAGATCCAGCGGTGCTGCGGAGAGAGATGGATCCACCGGAAACTCTCCCCTTCCCGCTTCCCCGGCCGAGCTCCGTGAACTGGCCAAACAGCTCGCTAGGTGTGGCAAGGCCTACCGAGAGGGCAACGCGGCTCTGCTGCCGCCTCCCTGGGACACGGACGAGCGAAAACCACCGAGCCCGACACCATCTATCGAAAAGAAGGACGGCTCGCCACGTGATCACCACGCAAAACCGATGGACTGGCCCGGGTGGGACGCCGATGGAACCACCTTTGGCTTGGAGCTGCAGCAACCATGGGCGGGCTTCGTGGCCAATGGGAAGAAGGCCATCGACGTGCGATCGTACGCTCTCCCGCCAGCGCTCCTCGGAAAGAAGGTCATGATCATCGAGTCCGCCTCCGGCAGGGCGGGGGTCAGCGCCCTGGGAAACCGCTTGCGCTTGACCGGTGGTGGCACCACCAGGGTCATTGGCTGGTGCGTCTTCTCGTCGGTGAAAGCGTACGAGACGGGTGCCGCCTTCCGGGCGGACGAACGGCTGCACCTCGTCGCTCCGGACAACCCGTACGGATGGAAGGACGGAACGACCAAGAACGCGTTTGGGTGGGTGGTCGGGGAGCACCATCGCTTCGGGGAGTCGTCGCCGGCACCTTCCGGTGCCGCCGCGATGGGTTCGGGGATTCGGCGCTTCCGATCTCTGTTCCAGCTCGCAGCGGAAGAGGGAGTGGAACCGAACCCAGCCAGGGAGAAGAAAAACAACTCGAAACGGAGCAGCGCAACCCGAAAGAAGAAACCCAACGGGAGGAAGAAGCGCAAGAGATTCTAGCAAACGGGGGAAAGGCCTGGAGACAGCGCTGCTGTAGCAGTGGCAAACTTGTGGGCCGGCCACCATCGCGTTGCTTGTCGGTCCGAAAGCATTTGGTTACCATTAGCAAATGCTGTGGATTACTTCAACAATTTAAAAATTGCTTGCTAATTATTATACCATTGTACTACACATACATTCACGATCGTCCATACGATCGATGCGGTCCTGCATTGTGCAGTGTTGGCGCTGGTCGTGCATCCATCTGCCAAGTTTTGGACTGTCCTTGTGTCGTGCTGGTACCCGAGATGATCCATTTTCTTTGTTGTACAGTAAAAAACCTCAAGTGCGTCCCACCCCATTGGCTGTCCCTGCTCTGGGAGTTTTCTTTTGCGTTTCCCTATCTGCGGCAGGGATGGTGGACAAGAATAAAGTATCGGGCAACAGCCAGCACCTGCCGCTGGTCCGCCTCGGGCAAGACGATACATCCCTGCCACGAGCAAAAAGTACGGGTGCCGTGCGGTACAAAGGTTGTTTGCCGCGGCATTGTTCTGGACAAAAATAGGAATCTCGGTCCGAAAGCAACACAATGTCCCATCGGCCCACAGTGTTGTAAAACCCAGATCTAGTTCTTGCCACTAGGAACCCTCCGTAGTTTCTTCGGATGGGCGCCATGGAATATAGCTCGATTTTGTTACACTATTGTCTGTCAATGGCAACAGCACTGGGACGTTGCAGCGCTGTGTCGCAGCTGTGGGGGAAGCAGCAACAACCAGAATGGGAACGCCACAAACCCTCCGACGCACAAAGAACAGAGCAACACCACCGAACCAACGGGTTGGACCCGACGCGATCGGATCGTTCCCGCGTCCCCTCCTGCAACAGCAACAGCAATGGCTGCTACAACTAAAACAATCCGCTGGGACGCTAGAGAGGAATGAATCACCATGGTCTATTACTGTATTTATTGTTACTTGGAAGTGCGGCCCGAAACCCCGAAAACCCTTTCGGAAGCTCGCGGCGGGGCGTTCCGGCATGTTCGCAAACACCCCCCTCGTGTCTCTCTTTTGGTTTCGCGTGCCGGCACTCGCTCTCACGACTGCCCGGGAACCATCAGGACCGACACCAGGCCGTCCACCGCGTTGGCCGCCGCACAGGGCTTGCCCGGGGGGTCTCCCAGGGCGAGGCTCCCCACCGTCGTGTCCTCGTCTTCGGCAGCGCCCCCGGCGTTGTAGTAGCTGCCCTGGCTGCTGCTCCCGGCGGTGGTGTTGGACGAGGCCGTGCTGACCGTGTTGGTGCTCGCGCTCGGCGCCATGACCTGCTTGGGAAAGGAGTTGGCGCGGACCATGTTGGTTTTCTCGTCCAGGACGACCCAGACCGGCTCGGCGGGGATGAGTCCCTTCGTTTCCGACTCGAGGTCGTCGCTCGTCACCAGCTCGTACATGTAGTCCCCGTAGAGGGCCAGGGCGGCCTCGTGGCGGGCCCTCCCGCGGTCGGCGCAGGCGTCCGTGACCAGGAGGGTCCGGTAGCCCGCCTCGAAGATCCCAAAGGCCGAGTGCTGGACGCAGACCGAGGTGATGAGGCCGCAGACCAGGACGGTCTCGATGCAGGCCACCTTGAGAATGTCGACCAGGGCCGTGTTGCTGGTGCTCGACCAGCTGGACTTGGCAATGATGACCTCCCCGCCCTCCGGCGTCGCGAATTCCTCCCAGGTGAACTCCGGAGAGGACGGGTCGCAGGGGACCTCCCCCAGGTTTCGGGGGCCGCGCATCCGCTCAAACTGGGACAGCCAGGGGGAGTGTTTGTGCCGGTAGTCGGCCCGGACCCAGATGATCTTGGCCCGGCGCCTGCGACATATGTCGATGGTCTGCTTGAGGTGCTTGGGAAAGTCCGGGAAATCCTTGCGGACTGCGATTGTCAAACGGAATCGAAGCGAGCCGGGTCGAATTTAATTTCGTCAAAGTGCATCGACAATCGTGGCATCGAAACATGCAGCCATGCAGTCGAGTACGCGCAAACACAAKGTGGGAGCAGGGGCAACAAGCAACAAACAACAAGCCAAGCGGAATTTTTCGTCGTGAGCAAAGCACAGCAACAACAACAACAACAACAGCGGCAACAACAACAACAACAGCGGCATGAATTCGCCGCAACGCAATGCACCCCGCACGAAACGATGCGGCACTCACCGGCGGGGCAGTTGGACCAGTATTCCGGCTGTACGTCCACGATCAGCAGGGCCGTCGATTCGGCCGGGAGCGGAGAGGTGCTGCGGCAGGACGAGGAGCCGTTCGAGTCGCTCGAGACGCCGGCGTCCGGATGGCTCGAGGACGAAAACGTCGTCGTCTCGTACTCCTCCGAGGCGGCCTTGGCCCAGTTGTAGATCGGCCCGTCCTTGATCATGAGTTCTTCGTAGGGCTTGGCGGTCTTTGCCGGTATCGTCGGAGCGGGAGACGCTTCCTCCCTCTGCTCCACCCGCGTTTGCGGTGGGTGGTGGCTGGCGGTGGTGGTCATTCTTTTGGGATCGATTCGAATCGGTCTTGTCCGGGTGCTTTCTTTGGCTTGCTGCGATGGAATGGATTGAGATGGATTGGGATGGAATCTGATGTGATGTGATGGGATGGAATGTGTGAATCACACTGCGGTGTGATGGATTCTTTCGCTATCGGTTCTTCTCCTCTGAAGAAATAATGGAAGTGCGAGCAAGAGTTTCTCGGTTGCCTGTATTTGCGGCTGGGCTTGGTTCGCACTAAAAAATGATCCGAAGCAGGGCTTCTTCTTGTTTTGGGTGTGATGGCAAGAAATGCGCCGGGCGTGAAATTCAGGTGTCCTGGTCCCCGAATCAATAGAGTGGTAGTAGTGACCCGTCCGTTAGTGAGCGGGTACGAGTGCGTACAGGTATGGGTACGTGCTGCTGCTGCTGCTGCTGCTGCTGCTGCTGCTGTTGCTTGTCGTGCTGGTCCGTTGGTCGTGGTCTGCCGTACCGTATTGTTGGTTGTCTTTGCAGTCTTGTGAACCGGCCCGCTGTCGTTTTGCTTTTGTCGCCTGTCCCCGGCTTCTCCTTCGGGCTAGGTGTTCTTTTTTGTGATCGATCGGGGTCGTGGTCGCAGCGAGAATTGGCCAATGAGTCAATCCCGAGCAGAACTTCTGGTTTTAGGATCTCCCTCCCACCGATAACCTCCCTTGTTGTGTCTCGCTTTTGCACTTGCCATATGGTGCCACGGCGGGTTCGTCGTCGGAAACGTTGGCGGCGATTCCGATATTCGGATCGCAACCAGGGGGATCGCCTACTTCTTGCACTTGTGGGCCCGAAACCGAAATTCTGTTTCGTCGGCCATTTCCGATTCCGATTCTTTTGTGGTGCAATGTTCTTTCTCAACAGGGACGCGATCCAATCAGAACACACGGCTCTACTCGTAGAGAGTCCCGGTGACGCATACATCGACCAACTTACTTAATACTCAGCGAACCAAGGCGAAAACCAGTTTGTTGAACCCAGGGGAAGTTCTGCGCTACGGTACGGTTGGACAGACCGGGGGTTATGACCGAGAGCCTTTCCGACCAAATCCCCGGGTACCTGGTACGCATTGGTACGGAAGACGAGTACGTACTCGTATTGCTACTCGTAGGGAACAAGAGACGTCACGCAACGCAAGGCCCGGCAAGAACGCTTAAATCTACTGGACCGCACCGTACGATCCGTACAGCGAACCACATACTGTACAAGACACGGGTACGATCCGCAAAGCACGCGCACGATCTAACGGATAGAACGAGGAACTTCCAATAGTTAAATAACGATGATGGGGCAAAAAGCAAACAAGAACTGACGAATGACAAGGACGGGAAGCAAGATCCATTCCTTTGGTGTCATCGTCCCACCGTGGGGGTAGAACGAGTACGTACGTACGTGCGTAGCTATTTGTACTGGAACTTCCAATGGTTAAATAACGATGATCGGGCAAAAAGCAAACAAGAACTGACGAATGACAAGGACGGGAAGCAAGATCCATTCCTTTGGTGTCATCGTCCCACCGTGGGGGTAGAACGAGTACGTACGTACGTGCGTAGCTATTTGTACTGGAACTTCCAATGGTTAAATAACGATGATCGGGCAAAAAGCAAACAAGAACTGACGAATGACAAGGACGGGAAGCAAGATCCATTCCTTTGGTGTMATCGTCCCACCGTGGAGGTACAGTACGATACTCGGAGGCAGGGTGTAACCCGCAAGGCACGTAGTACGGGTGCCTCATACAGCAGCATAGTACCAACATATGGCACAATCAACAAGAGGTACGAGGAGTTTGGGAAGTTAGCTACTACTGTAGTTCTAGTTCTATTTCTAGAGCTATCGATTATGCTCAGGTAAAAAACGGGGAGTACACCAAAGCAAACCGTTGTATCAGTTTAAGTTACCAACTAAACCAACCAACCAAATCAAATGAAGTCACAATCAATTGTGAATCACTGATTTGTTTTGGGTTGAACCGTTGGTCCAAAGCCACCTATTGTTTGCATGCAATAAAAAGCAAGGCTTGTTATTACTATTTTATTTGCTGCAGGAGAATATGAATTTGCAAACCCAAAATGTCGCTGATAATCTGCTTGGCATGGAAAGATGTGGGCTTGCCAAATTCAGAGTTCCTCTTGTGGGAAACTGATTTGTTTCCAACGAAAGTAGTAGAATAGGCAGATAATGATGCATCACTATTTGTTGTTCTATATGTTGTTCTACTGTATTCTGCTCAAGTTGGTACTAGAAAGCTTGATCATTGAAATTACACTGCTAACTATTATCCAATACCACTGCAGTGATGCTGCTTCTCGATACGAAACCGTACCATGAAAAGAATTCTCCAATGCAAACCCGACAATGACTACAATCTTTTGCAATATACTGCCGACTCGAGCCCCACCCCTACCCGTCTTTCTTATTTCTGATCCCCGTCGAAAGCCCGCCACTAAAGCTTCTCAACCCCTGTGATGGGCAGATCCCTTAGTCTGTCCTTGACCCTGCGATCGATCCGCACACCTGGCTTGGCTTCGAGGCGGTGCAATTCCGCGACGAACGACTCGGAGGCATCGTCGAGAAGCGAGTCGGGGATCAACCCCAGCACTTCCGTGCAAAAGGCGTCGATCAGCAGCTTGTCGCCCTCCGCAATGTCGCCGGATTCGGCAAGGGCCAGCACCCTGGCCTCCGTCATGTCGATCAGCAGCACCTCGCCCGTCGATCTAGAGACGAGTGGCTGGAGGTCCGTTGTCACCACACCGGCCGCGATCATCTGCGCCATTGTCTTGCCGAGCTGAAGGGCACTCCGGAGGGCTAGTTCGGGTGTAAGGTCGTCCAGGCTCGAGGTGGTAGCATCGCCGTCGTCTTCCATCAGTGGCTCCATGGCGATGGCCACACGGCGGGAATCGTACGGATACTCCACGCTCCCGAGACAGCGCTCGACGCCCGTGACCCCTCGCTGCTCCATCACCGACAAGACATCGCATTCGTTCCGGACGCTGTCGGTGCTGCGCAACCAGCTTATTTTTACGACGACGTTTTTGGGAACGCCACCGGGATTGCCGTTGCCATCCCCGCTTCGATCCAAACCCGGGTCTAAGATTCTTTTCATGCCCCACACGGATCCCCCCCCACCGGCACCCAAAAACCTCGGTTCCTCGAGGGTCATCCCCGGAAATTTCATGCGATTGTCGATGCGAACGGAACCGTTTCCGAACTCGTAGTTCTTGGTTTGCGTTTGAACCATTGGTGGTGGTATCGGATCCGCCGCCATAGGGTTCAGGAGCAACGATGCGGTCAGGGCGGCCTCTACGACGATGGGAGGAAAGGGCACAATCATGTTCGGCGGCAATCAAAATTTTGAATACGATACAGTACTCGTCGTGTTCCATCGAAAGTTCGACTATCGCAAGTGGAAAGACACCTTCTTCCTGTGTCGCACCGTGGCGTGCCGACTGGTTGAAGGCTGGAATGGATCATTGGGCTCCACCAAAGTGAGCGAGCCAGCGGGTGAGTGGGTGAAATATCAATTGTTCTCAATGGTACTCTTCCTAGTTCTTTTCTGTTGTTTTTTTTTCTGCTCTATCAGAGCGATTGATCCTCTATTCTCCGAGCGATACTACAATCCACGCATACTCCTCTGGATTTTTGCTTCGCAAACCGACCTTGATTGCTTTGATTTCTTTGATCATCTTGTGGTGCCGATGTTGAAAGGGAACGGATGCGACGAACTTCTCTTGCAGAGAATAATGTCGTGATGATGCGTGTGTGAGGACTCGGGACACGGGACTCACGATTGAGGATTTTGATCTACTGGAACGTACGTAGGGTAAGTTGCCGTACTGTACAGTTTCGGAGCTGCCCTATCGCAGGCATCAGGCAGATCGTGAGGATGGATCCTATTGCCATACCGGTAGTATGCTACCTGGTACCTACAGTACGAGTAAGCACACAACGGTACAATGTACGCTACGTACCGTACGGTACAATACGAAGAGAAAGATGAAATCACATGGATTGGTCGTATTGGTCGACGGCGAGAAATGAATTATGGCGCGCGCATCCATCGGATCATCGTCGTTGACTGATCCCTTCTTCTGTTCATCACAAATTGAACATCGACGAAGAAATCGTTCATTCCATACATGCAACCCCACCTCCCTCCCGTGTTCCGAACGAACTTTCCATTAAGAATAAGCTATCACACACAGCACGATTTTGACATAACAAGAATCCAGAATAGAAAAGGCAAGAAGCCTTCCATCAGATCGTACTGCTCGCATGAGGCTCAAACACCTCGAGGCATCGCTTTCGTGTCTGCAGCGGGAATTCCCGGATCCAAAAGTCGAACTCGAACAGTATCCGACGTGAGTCTGTCTCGATCGATCCTGCATTTTTGCGCATAGAATCACTCAATAGAGTAGTGTGCAATTGAGAGGGCTTTTTGGCGGTTCGCTTGTTGCTGGCATCTTTGACGCTCGGTGTGAACACTCGGTACTTGAATTCGCTTTTGACTCGCTTGTTCTCTCGTCTGTTCGCTCATTCCATTGCGAATCATTTTCTATTTCTCGCTATGCCGTGCCGTACGCTCCAGGTCCCCGGAATTGGCTGCACATGTGTTGGATTATGCCGTGAATCGTGGTGACCTTGGAAGCGAAGGCCAATCGTGTCTCGATTTGGGCTGTGGTACGGGAATGCTGCTTGTAGCAGCTGCGTTCGTGGTGGAAGAAGGCGAATTTGTGTTTGGTGTCGATTGCGACGACGATGCGCTGGCAATCGCCAAGGAGAACGTCGAACACGTAGACCTAGAGGATTGCGTCCGGTTCGTGAAGGCTCGCGTTCGGATGAAACCAAACTCGGTCGGCAGCGAGGACAAGAGGGGACACCCTTCCCGAACCAACAAACGCGGCGGACGAGGTCGAGGTCGTGGTGGGAGATTTGGCGGTCGTGGGGGTGGCAGAGTCGGATCGCAGCCGGCATCTCTGACCAAAGCTCGGCTGATACACGATGGAGAAGACGGGATACCGTTAGAAGACAACTGTGTCGAGTAAGTAGAACAACAGTAACCCACTCATCGATCAAGTCGTCTCAAATGTTCGAGAGACGTCCTTTGCTTGAGAGTATCTTTTTCATTAGCACGAGCAAGCTATTGTATATCATATTTGCACCATTCCATGCAAAATGGATGTGAGCTTGTGTCACGCATCAAACTATTTTGATAGGGCTGACTCACTTGCACCATTTGCTTCCTTTCTTTTCAACATATTCGGCTCGTTTGTACGCTTGGACAGGACCGTCGTGACCAATCCACCATTCGGGACGAAAAGTGATAATGCCGGGATCGATGTACAATTCCTTAGGACGGCCACTCGGTTGGCAAGGCGGGCTGTTTAGTACGTTCCCTTTGTTTCTGTGTCGATTTCGTGGAGCGTCACACTTTTCCTATGCAAAAAAGTATTAACTAGGTGTTGCTTCTTTCTGGCTGGACTTTTTTCTTCATACTTCTTGCAATTAGCTCTTTTCACAAGAAGAGTACCAGAGACTTTTTGTTGAAAATGATACGAGAAGACTGGGGCTTTCCCGAGAGTGATGTAGTAGCAGAAATGAGATTCGATATTCCGAAGTCTTACAAGTTCCATAAATCGAAGTCGAAGGACGTCGAAGTTGATCTGATAAGGATATTCGTAGGAGACAAAACCAGTCATGATGGTAATGCTGATGAGCATAAAAACGACCCTAATGATGAGAATGAAGATAGTGTTCAAAAAAAGATAGATGATACTGGAGAAAAGGATGACACGACAACTGCCAAAAGCACTCAAGACGAAAGCATAGCGTAACATTTTCATTGTTGCTATGGGGATGAAGAGAGCGTTATTGAATCTTCGAAAGAGGTTCAACTTGCTAGAAAATTGCTCTGAAAGTTTTCTGTTGTTGCGTATTTGCATGAGAAAAAATGCCTCGTTATGATGATGAATTAGTGTTCTTAATTGAAATTGTCTCGCTAGCTATGATCAAATTCCCGACTGGATCTATTCAGAGCCATAAAGCTGTCGAACCTCGTTGTGTTGGAAGGATCAATTGCATCATCTACAACATGAAAATCATCTTTCTCGTTCGTTAGCTATTCGTGTCTTGTTCCAAACTGGAGGCTAGAAATTTACCGCAAGCCGCGGTCTAAGTTACGTTGGATAATATCTCACACTTGTTTCTCTCACAAAAAAGACAGAAAGATGCCATCTAGAACCGTCACCTTTATCTGCGCAAGAAATACTTTAGAGAAATGATTTGTCATCGTTGGTGTTCCTGTTCGTATCCGTGTTGGCATCTTGGTAAGTTTTGCTTGAAGGAACACCTGCAAAAGTACCCTGTTGTATAGTCGAGGATGTGAAGGAATTGCTGTTAGCACATGTTTTCCCGACTTTGTTTGTAAAATCGCTTTCATTGTATGGAAAATGTCTATAAATTGTGGCCAATGTTGTAGGTTTCTCTCGTGAGCGTTCTCGGTTAGCACTGGGCTGGGATGCTGGTTCATTTCTGTCGGAAACAGTTGGATCATAGTCGAACCAGGTGTTCGAAAACAATCCACTTGTAGGTGAAAGCGATGTTGGCCCTCCCGGTAACTGCCGTGGTACATACTGCTCACTTGCAGATACATTTATCTTTCGTTGCTGACTCTCCGTGTGCATTTGCATCTGGGTATGTAAATTGCCGAGCAGAGTATTCTGGCTCTCTGTCACGTTCATTTGAGCGATTTGCTCGTTAGGATGATGATGCAGTTTCTGTTGCTGCGAATGATGATGATGTTGCCCCTGATAATGACGACTGTTGTTGTTTTTATTCTGGTGTTTATCCTGGAGAGGCTTCTGGTGTTGATGATCATGATGGTGCTGATGATTCTGTTCTGGTAGTGACAATGGAAACGGTTCGAGGTCTACCATCGGAGATAGTGCGTTCTCCGCAGTTAATAAGCGACTATCGGTCCTCCTGAACATCGTCTCTCCATCATATCTGTCATCAGTGGTACTCCCGAAGGGAAGTAATGATTGTCTTTGGTTCTGAAAGGATTGATTTGTTTGCATTCTGTCTGTGCACACTAAAGGAGTATTGAAAGAAGAAGAAGCACCTTGGATGTGTGGCTGTTCTCGGAACACAGAATTCATGGATTCTGAAAATTGATTTCGAGCTATATCGGATAAAGTTGCAATGGAGTTTTTGCCAATATCCTGGAGTTGCTGCCGTATCGATAAACTCGGGATCTGGTGAGACGACATATCCACTGAATCAGGACTGTTGCAAGATGTAGTGTGGATCGAAGAACAGAACAGATCTTTCACTACATGATCTGGCATCAATTGCATCGAGTCAATATCGCTTCTTCCGCCTTTCATTTCGGTGAAGCCAGAAGGGAAATTACTAAAATTTTGAGGAAACGAAACATGGTCACTTTTGCTTGGTTGTTGTTTTGTTCCTAAATATTTGGTGCTTTCAGCAACTCGCTCCCTCCCCGAATTTGTAGAATTGGGAGCAGCTTTTCTAGTGACTCCTTCTTTTTCTTTTTTCCGCCAAACTACCATTTCTCTATCATAGCGCTCTTTATCAATGACAGCTCGAGCAACGTAGGGATTCTTACTTTCTTTGTTCAAAGCCTTCCATTCTTCTCCAACAACGGTCAAATGCATACAAAGTAATAGAAAATCAACAATACGAATACGGGAATGAAGATGAGTCGAAAGTGGATTGTCATAGTATTAGGTCTTGTGTTTTTTTGGTCATCGAAACATACCCTTTCCAATCGTTTTTGCCAAGTTTTCAAATCCGACCCCTGATTTTTTCTTCTGTGATTTTCGCCGTGAATACTTTGCTTCTTCTTCTGTATCGGTCTGATTCGATTTTGATACCGCTTCCATTATAGTTTTTCTCCGGTCCTGGAAAAACAAATTGTACGCAGAGAGAGGACGCTTTGGCATGCCTTTCGGTTTTTTCCAAGGTATAAGGGGTGATTTCCGTTTCCGCTTCAGCTTCTTTCTTCCTTCCTTTATTGACGACCCGTCTTCCGGACTCGATCTTACCTCAACAGCATCAACTGGTTCCTCATATTTCACCTTTCCTTCTTTTCCTCTAGCAACAAAAGCTTGCGGGACTGGCACTGACTTTGTTTCATGGCAAATCTTCTTATTCTCGATTGAATCATCGCGAAGTGGTGATGAATAGTGGTCTGTATTTTTGTTCATGTTTAGATTCACTTTTGACGATTTCTCCATACCTTCAGTATGTTCAAAACTTCAGAAGAATATTTCATCTACGGTCCGTGGTGCCCTGACTTTGGATGCTGCTACAGGTCCAGACAGATGCCTTGATTTCGACTAGTCGAGTCCGTCCTATTTCAGGAGGTATCTCTTGGTATTTAGTATTGTAGAACTGACGCCGCAGAAAGAAAGTGAATTGATGCGCTTCCGACAACACATCGATATCGATACGATTTCAAATCTAGTCAAAACGGTTACAGGTATTGAGGTGAAGTGGTACAGTATCATCTTTCTCGCCGCTCCAAATAGTAGTAATCAAACTAGATGTACGGTGCGAACAATGTAAGGCGTATTGTAGTCTCGTGGGTTATTTGTCGTTTTAGGAGATGTATGTTCTTTATCTAGAAAGAGTTCACGTGATCAAGCAGACCTGGGAAAAGGTGACGATTGTTTCGTCGTACGAAGTTACTCTTCATATTTTTTGTTGTGTTCTTTATGTGAGGCTATATCCCGAGTTCGTACCCGAACTCTAGAGTACGGGAACGGAACTGTCACGTGAATGACTTTAGAAATACTAGTAGTCAAACTATCACAGAACATGAAGCGCAGTGGTATCTGTCGCTTGGTGAGTACAGTAGAAGTAATGAACAATTTAATATATTAATATAGCCCCTCGGAATATCACAGATCCAAAAACAAATAAAAATATTATAGGATAAGAGGCTTATTTATGGCATCGTGAAAAGTACAGTAAAAAATTAATAAAAAATATTACAGTACCGTAATACTGAAGAGTAACATTCCAATGGACCATTCATCACAATTCGAGAAGTGTGAAGAAGAACATTGGGCCCCGTTCCGCAAGAGAAAATAAAATCTGCCGTGCCGATTCAATTACGCAAAAATCTATTGAGATGACGATTTCTGTGCTACTATAATTGTCCTTTCTACTGTAATAGTCCTTTTGTGCCTTTCGTGAATCTTGGAATCTGGTAGGTAGATTGCATTAGGATTGCAGTAGAAAGTAGAAGGATTCTCGTCTACTAATATTGATGGCTCATGAATGTTAGATGATTGCTCTTCCTTATTCAGTTTGTTTCTTGTTATGTTAGATACTCCTATTAGATGCTGGAAGTAAATGAGTGGAATACCTGTTAGTGGCGAAAGAGAAATGACCGTATGACAACAGCGTTTAATACGTTTCAATGCCAAACGATGTTTTTAATTAATATATTTAAGGACTTGTCAAATGCTAAAATACTTTGTACTATTTCTGATCGTAATGAATATTTTAGAAAGCTCAACAAGAACCACAGGTTTTCGGGCAAAACTCAGAAAGTGCTATTCCAAGCCATTCCTTCGCGCAGCGTTCATCCTTCTTCTCTTCTTCTTTTCCGACCCAACCGCAATTCTTTGCAAAGTTATTTTGAAACGATACATTTTGAGCATCCACGCACAAAGTACTGGGAAGAGAATCGTTCATTCCAAAGCCTGAACTATAAATATTCAATTGTCCCGAACAAGAACCACATGTTAGCGGACACCACTCAGACAGCGGCCTGTTCGTCCAAGTTTTAGAACATCTACGCGACTTTCTCTTTGATACCCAATTGCAGTTTCGTCTCTTTTTATTTTTGTAACGGAGACTCGTTGAATCTCTAACAGTGTCGCATAGAGCCGAATTTGAAGCGATGATATCTACTTTGGCATCTTTACCGATGATGGATATTAGTTTCACGGTGACATCGAATGAAGATTCGTCGTAGTTATTGATTGTGTATGAATCTTGAATTTCACAAAGCGTAGATACTTGCCAAGATTGGCCATATTCATTAGGACCACTCGTCTTTTTTACAATTGTCACGCAGTTTGCGTCCTTCACTGTTTCCGCATTTCTGCCTTTTTTACGGTTGAAGCCAATGTAGTAATCTTCCCGAGAGTTCTGCTGCTTCAGTCGGAGAATAATCAGATCCTCCTTCACGCCAGATTCGCCTCTATCAAAGTCGTCTACACCGTTCAATATATATTCTCGAGAGTACTTCATGGGCAAAATGTCCGTCAGGGGATTCACAAAATCTTGCTGTTCTCTGTACCATCCGAGCTGGTAGCTCTTGGCTGGATTGAAACACATGAGCGGGAAGTCATCGTCCTTATAGCTAAACCCCATCATACCAGATTGGTCGCCGTAAACATCGGTATCTTTTCCTGAATGGGCGAGGCCAAGATTGTGTCCGACTTCGTGCACCTGTGTGCTAACACTGGAACACCATTCGTCATTAAAAAAAGAATCGAAACGATTGATGTAGGCGTAGGCAAGCCATGGACCCGTTCCGGGCGGAATGCAGAACATGACAAGATCAAATTGTGATCCGAGATCGCCATAAATTTCTGTAGCCCTATTTTTTGCCGCAACCTCGAAGTTGTCTTTATTTCCTTCGATAGGTGCCACGTCGACTCCTACGCTGACAACACCATCTTTGATGTACCGATTCGTTTCAGTGTAGCCCGTGAATGGTTCGATTTTAAGTCGGCCGTGGGAACAAGCTTCGTATTGCGACTTGAGGCAGACTTTATCTTCAAACACGTCGGATCGCAGTTGAACGGTGTTCGCAATAGGTCCAATCCCGTTCTTCGCGATCACTCGAACCACAAGTGTTTTCAGAGTACCAGAGGTAGCAGCCAGATTACGCCGCTTTCGCCCACTCTGTCGTCGTAGCTTGTTGCCAAGAGTGGTAGGTTGTTCGAGGACCTTCACGAGTGCCGCTGGTGGAATGGTCATCGCCATTGTCCCGTCGCCTCCTTCGACAATGCCTTCGGTAGCAACCAAGGCGCTAAAGCCAGACTTGGCGCCTTGACTTTCAAGAAATTGGTTGTTAATGCCTTTGAGCTCCACAGTGGCAGGGACAAAGTCGTGACCACTGGCATTCTCTAGTTCGCATGTCCAGGTTTCTTCGGAGGCAACCATTGTTGCTTGAGGATCTGTAGACTTGGTCGACAAGTATCGGGTTTCTTTTCGAAATAGAATACATTTTACATTGTGAAGGATTTTTCTGTGCTCTTGGCGAGGAACACCTTTGAGTCTCTTACCCTTAGACATTGATCGAGACAATGACGACAATGATTGTTCCAATGATGCGCATGTATTCGTAAGTGCTTGGAATATCAAAGAGACGAGTAGAATAGTAAATGATGATTTCATGGTGGTAATTTAGGTATTGTTTCTTTCGAAGTTTTTCGTTCTGATGTGGAACCAACTAAATTAACTTTTCTTGTGAAAAGAGTATTTCATCTGAAATGAGACAAGCTCGATGTAGATCGTGAAGTTGGGCATGTAGAGTATAGTTCCCTCGTATTATCAATCATGATGAGTGTATCGCCTTGTTGTCGTGGCTGATAGAACGCGGTTTCTATCAATTATCGTGGAAAAAAAAAACCATTGAATCGCCGTTTGAGACGTAAACCAGAAACGTTTTTCGGAGAAACAGATTTTAGCTTTGCTAAGTATCAAAATGAAGATCACATCTTGATTCCAACTTCGCGCTCCACTTCTTATCGGTCGACGACGACTATCCTTCGGATTTCTTGCCCAGCAGTGCTGCTGTTATTTGTTTTCTCCGACCTATGGATATGTAATAAATGCAAGCCGAGTATCTAGTAAAGTGATTCGTGAAAAGTTTTCTCACCATGGCTTTTCGATTTTCGATGAAGGAAACCTGAACATCACTACTTACGTTCTGATCATACTCTCTAGAGCTACGACGTACAATTCCAGTGCTGGCAAGATGAAGGCAATTCCCCGGGTGTCAATTTTTTCTCATTTTCCCGTCTTTATTTCCCCCTTCCCCCCCATCCACACAAAAAACTAGTCCTAAAATATTTCTATTAGTGATCCTTACTACTGGGGATATAAAATCCATGCTTGCTACTTGAGAATTAATATATGTGCTTACTACTGGATCACCTCCATTACTACTGACTAGTTGGGATGTCATACTAGTAGTGAACATTGCAAACTGCGTCACACAAAGGGGATCCATGGTATTGCGCATTTCGCACGGTCGATACCCTTAAATTTTCTGGTCCTACCATTAGATTATGAATTACAAATTAATTTATCAAACATCTAATTTTATTCCTTGTTCTGGGAACATGTTTTCTCAATCATGCTCTCATCTTACCCCTGATCCATCAAACTTCATGGTCTAGTATGCCCAAAAATTAGTATCCTTCTTGGACCCGACATCCCTTCACCCATGCATCGCTTGTTAACATGGGTCCTCCCAAGCTCAGGTAAGGGGGTTCTGTTCTTCACTTGTTGGTGCTGCTCTCTCTTACCTTTGAACTGCACTATGGTATGTAGTTATTAGGGAGGAAGTAGTACAAATTGGCTTGCTAATGCAAATACTACTAGTTTCTACGGAACAAAAACGAAGTTACTAGMGCCAGTAAGGTTGAAGTTATGCTCTGACAAGAATGTGTAATAGAAGAAGAAGCTCTTCAATGAACAAAGCACTGTGGTGGCAGTTAGTTGTTTCTGAAATAGGAGCACAGTACCTTATCCCCGGGGCTATGGTTCTGGCCATATAGTGCCTCTTCTACTAGTAGTAGTTCACGAGGTTAAACATAATATTAAGATTTTTTCAATTCAATGTTTCAATTTTTTTATGCTAGCAAATGATATCTTGTTGTGAACAGTGAGTAGGCAAGTCTCATTTTCCTGTAACATTGGATCTGTCACAATATATAGCAACCTTTACTATGTGTTGTTTCCCCATTGATATTAACAACCGCTGTTCCAGTCATGCCTGTGATAGCCAGAGTCCTGTTGGAAAAGTTCACTCCCAATTCTTTGCAAAACATCTTACAATAATGTCAAACATGATGAATTACTTTTGATTTTCCAGTACCACCAGCCCCTGATAGAAAACAGATGAACTGCTCTTTGTTGCTTGTTGTTTCCTTGAGATCTTCAATGTATTTGTTGTGGCAATTACCAATTAATCTTCTTGTGGAATATCTTTTTCTTCATTGTTCAGGTGAATGTAGAGATAGTTTATGAAAATTTGAAACAAAAGCAGCAACAATCTGGCTAAATGCAATTTCTTGGTCTTTGTCATTGTAAAAATTCAACTTTGCATAGTGTCTGATATTTTCCAAGACTCCAGTAAATGTGAAGTTTGTCATAGCGTTTGCATGATCAGTCTCATTCATGACAACATCAAAGGCTTTATGTAGAATTTGATACAAAACGCTTCTTTGAAACTCACTAGGTTATAGGTTTTATGTTTTGGTTGAGATTTTGTGTATTGTCTGTAGAAAAAACCAAGCCACCTGAACCTGAGTTTTGAAGTGCAATTTCATTTGAATATGGTTGGACTTTTGGCATTTTCAGCAGTGGTGTTCTCCCACACTTGTGGGAATCTTGATAAGTGACAACAGAAGTGTCCATTTGCAGCTTTGTACTATTGAATCTGTCTGTKAAATGAATCTGACCTGGATCATATATCATATCCATATTGTCAACAAAATTTGCCTGGAGCTCATCAAACAAACAAATATTGCCACTTACTTCATTACTAGTTCCTCCATGTACTAAAGGATTTTGTGTAACTTGTTCTAGAGCATTTTTTGATCCCCCTGAATTAAAACTGCTGTAGCAATCTTGGGCATTTTTCAGCAGTTTCTGATGATTCAGTTTCAATTTTCCCACTTTTTAGATTTTCCCTGAGTTTTTATAAATATTTCAAATCTGTCTGGAGTTTTTGAATCTGCCTGGAGTTCTTTTTTTGCATTCTTAAATGAAAAATAGAATCATTGCTGTTTTAGCATATTTTTCCATTGCCAATAAGTTGTGATCAGTATCTTTTGGATGATTGGTGTTACCATTAATGGGGATGCCTTCAAAGCTTTCACTGTTCCTATTTGGAAATTTTCAAGTGATTTTTTGCAGGGTGTGGAGTTGACCAATCAATTGTTTCTTTTTTCTTCTTTGATTTGATTCCTTTTGTTTTGGTGAAGCCAGAGAAAAAATTCATAAACAGAAACATCTTCAGGTTTTGCCTGGCATGTGAAAATAATTTGCAACATTAGTAGTTTAAGAAATGGAATGTGTTTGGTGGAAGTATTTTTTGTAGGACTCAACTTGTCCGGCCCAACAACAACAAGGCATGATCAGTTGGTGCATCATGCGCATGTCATAGCTGTAGCTATAGCCCAAAGCTGTCAATATTTATCGTTGTTGTTGGCTTCTTTTTAATGCCAGACTGACTGATCACTAAAATAACTGCTGAATTGTGAGTCTTGGGAGGATTTAGTAGTACTAGGTTAGTACTCTCTTACATTTTGGAACAGCCAATCACAAATCTGACTTACATGTATGCATTTAAGTCTTGGGAGCAATGTGGTTCTCTTAAATCTTGGAATGACCAATAGCAAATATGACTGATTTTTTTAGTCTTGGGAGCAATTTGTTGTTTCTCTCAAATACTGGAATGCTGACTTGTTGCTTGTTGTTCTTGTCACAGCCAGCACCACCAATAATGACTGAATGTTTAACAAGAAGTTAAAACAATGGGGAATAATCTATTGTTGGTCAAGGTACTAATTTATTTGCAAAAAATGGTATACCAGGTTTTACACAAATCCACACTAAAAACAAGTTTCTTTTTGTTTCCTTGGTAAGTCCAGGGCTGTGAGAATTCTTCAAGGTTATTGGCTACCGTGCACTAAGAAAGATAGTGGTAGTCCAGAGCACCGTAGCCAACTTACTGCTTTCTGTACGGTAGTACTTCTAGTAATTGTATCCGTCGGCCAGAAAATCAGAAATATTTTTTTTTCGAATAGTCGATATTCTGACCTTCGTACGGTATCATACGTACGATACGACGCATAGCAATTCTTGAGTTCGATTCACCGCGCCATAATTTTTTGAAATGAGGCCCACGTGATGAAAATCGAAAATCAAAAATCCCCATTACTCGTACTCGTATCAATGGTACGGGTGCGGTGGGTACCTACTAAGTAGTACAGTACGAACTGGAGTAATCGTACTGTATGTACGAGTTCGTACTCTTCGTACCCTCTTTCCGAGTTCTATTTTAACTTATCGCCTGCCTGACGACGGAAATCCTCACTACGAGTACTCGTACGGGACCCAATAGTACGTACCGTACGAGAATAGCACATTAAGTTATGTACGGTAGATGAGACCTTGGTAAATTAAGAGGAAGTAGTGAAGTATAGTAATTTTTGGACCAACATATTGAAGTCAAGACTGATAAGTAAAAAGTAACTAGTTCTGATAGTACGAGTAAGATTCATTTAAGTAGCTTAGCCTTTCCAAGACCAGAGAAGATGAGAACATCGATTTCATTAAGTCCAAGTTTTCTTAATCTTGTGTACAGTACCTAACGTACTCGTACTCGTACTCGTACCTGCTCTAGAAAGGAATTTTGGAGCAATACAGTACCAGGTACCGTACCAAAACGCTGCCTACGTCATGGTGAATGTGTGACAATCGTTCATGCAGTTTCCACTACCGCATAGTTTGATCTTACTTGCTACTAGTATGAGGAAGATTGTCAAATGAAAAGCTCGTGCAGTACAGTACTATTCAATTATGGCTTCAGAAGTTAGTCGTGGCAAACTATATGGTACAGTGCCGTCGCTTTCTCAAAAGTTCGTTTGAACCATACGGTACAGTAAATTCGTAACGAATATAATAGTAATTTTGAACGTTTGATGAAGGCGAAGGGTGTCCCCGATCGGTAGGAAACACTAAAACATTTAATAAAATAGTTAGCAATATATTTTGTTATGAGTGACATGGAATTCCCGTCAAAATTGATGTGTAGATGAGCTGAGTTATTAAAGGGGATCGTAGAAAGGATTGTAGAGAGAAAGATGATTAAGCATAGCTCCTAGTATTCCGAGCTTGGTAAAAATGATGCGAGGGCACAAAATCTGTACATTTATGTACCGGTACAGGAAGAAAGAAGTTGTTCGTTCAGTTTACTTTACGATGGAGATGCTGTGGGAATGAGGAAATGAGTTGGATAGTGCTCAGGCGTCTTCGCCCTCGCTATCTCCCTTCTCGCTTTTATCGTCGTCGGACTTGGATTTCTTCTGGTCTTCGGGTTCGTCAACCGCCATGTCGGTGTCGTTGCTGTCTTTTTTTTCTTCGGTATCGGCATTTTCGTCGCTGTCTTTTTCTTCTTTCGTGCCTTCATTTTCGTCGCCATCTTTCGTTTCAACCATTGGTTCTGGTTCCACTTTGTTGGCTGTTGATGCAGTAGCTTCCGCTGCCGCTGATTCAGATGAGACTGCTTTAACTTGCACTTCTTTCGTTGACTCGCCGGTAGGATCATCTTGTTGGCGCTGTTCCATACGGTAGTATTCCTTCATGGCCTCTTTCTGCCGAATAGAATCTTCCTTGGCAAGATCTTGATAATATTTTCTGTCGTCGTCAGGGAGTGCCTTCCATCTGGCGCCGACCATTTGTGCAAGCAAACGGAAACTGATTTTTCCATGCGTCTTGCGGTGCGCTCTTCGTTTCCGTTGCCCAGGAAGCAAGGGTCGCAGAAAGGCTTTCGGAATCTTTCGCTTCTTCGAATCACCTTCCTTGCTAGCTTCATCACTGTCCTTCTTTTCTCCCGATTTTTCGTCACCTTCGTCCGATGTCTTGTCTTTGTTGTCAGCATCCTCTTCACCTTCCTTCTTGGGATCCTCTCCTCTCTCGAGAGCTGCCTTTTCATCAATCTCCTTGAGAATTCGTTCTCGTTCTTCAGAAAAGAAGAGATTGTAAGCGCTGAGCGGTCGACGAGGTTTGTTCGTCGGTGTCTTCTTGCGAGCAGGAGCTCGCTTCTTCTTCAGGTTGACTCCATTTTGCAACTGGCTCTGTTGGAGCTGTCTGTGCTGCAATTGTTCCCGAAGCAAGAGTTTTTCGGTATGGGCCTGGGCTTGAGCTAGCTGCTCTCTTGTGTGTCCGTAAAGGTTCAGGTCCATCAAACGTTCTCGGTCCATGAAGGAAGATCCTACCATGTTTGGATGCACGCCAGGGAAAACCCCGGCTTGCATTCCCACCATCCCGGCTTCTTGTTGCCGCTGAAGAGCAAGTAGGCGGGAAGAACCCGAAAGATCCACACGTTGTGGGTTGAGGTAATCGGAGGCAGAGGCACCCATCGCTCCATAGGCATCTTGATGGAAAGGATCTAACATAGAACCCATTCCGTTCATGGCACCCATTCCATTCATAGCACCAAGTCCTCCCATGCCGTTCATTGCACCCATGCCGTTCATTGCACCCATGCCGCCCATGGCACCCATGGCGCCGATGCCGCCAAGACCACCCATGCCACCGAACATGCCACCAGCAGGAGCGCCCATGTTACCCATGGCTCCCATCATGGAGCTTCGCCTCACTCCATCGAGGGAGCTTCCTGGGCCTCCGACCATCCCATTCGAAGCATTGAACGGGGAAATACTTCCAGATCCACGTGTCTGATTGGGCGAGCGATTGCCACCCAGGGGATTCGCACCATTTCCAAGGTTATTTCCAGAGGCATCAGAAAAGCCATTGATCATGGTGGCTCTTCGGTCATTGCCACCACCCGTAGCGCTCATGAGGGAATTGCGACGGCTGACAACTGTCGCTTGTTGGTCTCGAAGTTTCTTGAGCTGTTCTTCGTCCGATCTCATGAGGTGCGTCGTGGGATTTCCAGATGCTCCCGACGAGTCAACTCCCGAGCCGAACCGGCCGTCGTCTCCAGGAGCACCACCAGCACCTCCGCCCATTCCTTCTTTCATTTGCTGCTGACGCCTACGACGTTGGTAGAGGAGTTGCAAGAGGAGTTCTTCTTCGGCTGCATCATTGCCTCCATTTCCTGTGTTGTTTCCGCCATTCTGCTGCGATAAGTTGCGTTGCTGTTGATTTTGCTGCATCATAGAGGATGAACCATCAGTTCCCATGCCACTCGGGGCATTGGATCCTGCTCCTCCAGAACTTCCTGCTGATGAGGAAGCCTTTAATCTCCGGAGGAATTCTTGATCAACGGATTGGTTCATCGACGACGACATCTTGGCCATCCACTCTTCGTCGGATAGATTGTTTCTTGAAAATTCCATCATTGTTGGTCGAAATGGCTATAATCTTTGATGCGAGTATCGCTCTTAGATGAATGTTTGAGAGGATGAAGTTCGGCGTATGCTGCAATATACAAGAGAGTCAGTTCCGGTCAAACATGGTGAGAAAGCCCATCGTTGTAACAGGTACACTTAGTTTCAACTGGGACAAATGAAAAGGGTTGATTAACGTAGCTGACGGCCTCATTCGATACATTGTGGGGGTAGGATAGTCGAACGACATAACTTACMCTCTGTTTCCTTTCACTGAGTGTGTTGTTTTGTATTGACGTACAACAAGGTAATAGTGCGATTGAATTACGCTTGTTTTTTTTTGGGGCCACGAAAAATAAAAAATGTGAAGAAATTTATGTGTTTTTCAGCATAATGTTGCTTATGTTTTAATGCAGAATAGCCGCTGCTGCTGAAAAATGAACTATTACAAGGCGTGCTCAAAAACGATTTGCTTGGAAATACTTTTGAATGGCGGTCTATGTATTCCTTCAAGTTCGAGTGTGTATGTCATCCTATTGATCAACGGGGGTACAAGGCGTAGCATTATGCCCAATGTTTGGCTGTGATTGAAGATTCAAAACATCTCTGAAAAGCTGAAAGCTTTCAAGCACGTTCCATCGTTCTAATCTATTCCTGACCATTATTTAAAAACAAATTTTAAACTTGATTGAAGCAATAATAAGAAATTTTAGAACATTAAGTAAAGAAAAATCATATAATAGCAATCGATTGAGATAAGTAGAATCTTATCAACGACTGATTAAATAAAAAAGAAGCTCAATTAATAAAACGGTTGACATTTCTATGGCCTACAATACTTAAGAAACATGATTGAAAGTATGAGTCATTTTCAGAGCTCAAGCGGAGAAGAATTATGGTTTTTATTAGCATTGCAACACGATCCTTCTTGCTAGAGTAACGAATTCTACTTTTCAAACACTACCAAGACTGGCACCTCTCGGTATCGGAAAATAATTAAGCTTTACAATAATGGTTGTAGCTTGTTAAGTAAAAAAAGAATGCGACTGATCATTATATGAGAGATTATTAATCAATTGTGTGTCTTGGCAATAACGTTTTTAGAAAATGGTGTTAAACCCAAATGAGAAGTGCAAGAAGAGTGTGCACGCGCTATCACAGCCTGGTGTTGACATTGACGATTTGAAATACACTATTGAATGACAAAAAATAATAATGATCACGTTAATTGTATGATAAGTTCTTCCTTATGCGTGAGGCGTAAAAATAGGGTCTTTGCATTGCGAAGGCCTAAGGGAATGTGTGATAATTTAAAGTAATCACGGTACTGTAATAAAACATATGGTATGGTACCGTACCGGCCGGTACGATATTACAGTACGTACTGTTCTCTGCCATAATTAGTAGTATTAATTAAAGGGGTGCCCAACGTGTGGGAATTCAAATTGTATTGCATTCCATCCTTTTCTGGTACGAGTAGGAGTACGATTACTGATAAGAACCTACCGTACCACCGCAGGTACGTAAGAACGTTAGAAATGCCATACGGTTATGGAGGGAAACTTTTTTTGAATGAGGGGGGGAAATCGTCTTTCAAGTCATGCAGGCGCTGAAAATGTCGTCACAAGGTTGATGCGACAAAACTGACGAGAATTTAAAAATAGTTTTTCTTCCTAGACCACAATCACGACGGTACTTTAAACGAGAACTGGAACTTTCAGCATGAAAATAATTGGAACTGTAACTTTTTTCGACGGCTATTGTAAAATTATTAAAAATCATACCGTCCCCTAATATAAACTTACTTAGAGGCCCTGAGTGAATGAAAATACTGTTTATTTTGGTGAATTTGAGCTGCCGTAATTTGGCCATACGGGTCCACTTATTTGCCAGCGCCCGTGCTG